CATGCTTCTAAACCATGTATAAAATAACATGAAATACTTAAGAATGTAAAGTCATGCTCTGTTTGCAACATAGCAAATTCTATACATTCTATCAATAAAATATGCTTCATTTCTCATTGATAAAATATCACAATCTAGTCATGCTTTCATAATAAATCATATTCTCAAATTATCATGCTTCTTTACTCAATAAAAACATCATCAGATCACATAGTCAAATAATTCTTCATACACAGTAAACTAGCAAATATATACTCTGTGTAGCAAATCTTCAATAAAACTTTCATAACATACTCGTTTTTAATCCAAATTCAATGAAATCAAAGCCAAAACGTGCGTCGAGACGGTCCCGAAGAGCAGAGCCACAAGGGTTTGTAACACTCGGCTCGAAACGACACGTAGCTGAGCCACAAGGGCCCGGCCACTGCACAGATTCTTCTCAGAATCAAAGTCAGGGACCTGGAGCGGGACTCCTCATGGTCCACCACATGTACCCCGCTACTCCATCGGGACTAGGCGGCGGCCCTCCTCTAGGGTTGTGCCCTAGTCTCGTGCAACCACCACTTTAGCCGGCAACCCTCCTGATGGGCCGCGGCTAGGGCCGTTAGTCTGATTTGGTGCACTGTGTGTGCACCAGAAGCCTTTCTCATCTGCAAAACTCAATCCAAACAACTCCAAAACAATCTCAACAACTCACAAACAAATACTAGATCACTTCTAAGCATAAACACAATAAAATCTCATAGATTATACTCATTTCTACTCAATATAAAGGCTTCATAGAGCCAAATTCAAGAAGGAATCCATGGGGTTATACCTCTTGTTGCATCTTCTTCTTGTTCTTCTTCCTTGTGTGAACCTCAGCCTCCATTCTACTCAACACCAATCCAAACACCATCTAGACACCACTAACAACAACACAAGCCAAACCTAACCAAACTCAGAGATTGAAGCAAAGGAGGATGAAAACCTTAAAGGAAAAAGAATGGATGAGATTGGCCTAGGAACACTTACTATGTTTTCCTTTGGTTTCTTGCTGAGCTGCTAGGTAGGGAAGATCAGGAAATTAAGGATGGAAGAGGCGAGTTTTATAGGGTCCAAAATCCTAGAAGATCTTCTTATGATTGGTTGATAAAAGGAACAATCTTATTGGCTCTCAATTAAAGCATCAGACAACGGTGGAGGCTAATGGTTCACCATACTCCATGGTCCAAAGGCTAGAAATGCTAATTTTGAATACTTTGGGGTTGAAAATGAATTTTCTCAAAAAGCTAATTAGATGAACCCTTGTTTAAAATCTTTTTGGATTCTCCCGGTCTCACTCAGATAAATTTCTCGATTTAAAACTTAGTACGCAAAGTACCCGAGATTTTAGGAATTTCGAATAAGATAAATTTTGGTGTCGAATTAATTTAAAATGTGACTAAAATAATTTTATTCAAACACCAATTGATCACACAAATTTTTAATGGAGTGAAAATGACTATTTTGGAATTTCTTAAAATTGGATTTATAAAATAAAATTTTGGGTTGTTACACTTTGTGTCCTGTTACTTTTCTTTCTTCACGACAAAATCTAACTTGCTTGATCAAGATGGCAAACAATAGGAGAAGTCGGAGCCAGAGCTATGTGTAGAGGGAGGGCTCAACCCGCCAGGTTGGATATCACCCCGACAATGTGGTCGAAACGCTCCCCGAAGATGATCTACGTTGATATTTGGACCCATCAAGATGCCTAATGAATGAGCTCACCTTCAACCACGTAAGACGAACCATTCAACCTCAAACTATAGTCCATCTAAACGTCTCGGTACCTCGGAGTGGCGTACCTAGTCCAAACATCCAAGTACCTGTGGCATATACCCTGCTATCCTCAACACCTTGTGGGTCAGCGGGGACCACAATGCAATATTAACAAGGGGTTCCACAGCAAGATGTGTCATATCCACCGCAAGGGTTTGCCTAAACGTATCAATCGTGGTTAGGGACCCTCGAGTACTTCTTTGTAGCATCCACTCGTCAAATTCCAATTGTGGAGCACCAGCAACTAGCCAGACAACATGTCCAACAACGGCCTTCGCAACCCCAAAATCACATCTTGGAGGAAATAAAAGTGGCAGACCAACTGGGTAGCTCAGGCGGACCGATCGGGTACCCGGAGTAAATAAAAGTGGTAGACCGATCACAAATGTCCAATCATGAAGGATGTGGAGGCCACCAACGACTTGATATCACTCAGCGAGAAAGTGTTTTTAAACGAATTCAAAAAACTGTCAAGTCCCGGCTAGGCCCCCAAAATAACCGAAGCCACTCAAGGTTGAAGCCTCGAAGAAGTACGGAGCGGAGGGAAATAACACCAGAAGAGCAGTCGATCGACCGATCTATTACTTGTAGAAAATTTGTCTGGCCGGTAGTTTGATCAAATTTGTCCGTCGACATTAAAATTAATTTTAAACGAGTGACTACTCTCGACTCTACTTGTGAAGGATTTTACCGGTCGAGCATTCCCGATCCTACTTGTAATGATTTAGCCCAATTGATCGCAAAGAAAAACCTCCTGGCCGGTCCGTTAGAGATTTTGTCCAGTTGAATTATCTCAGCCCTACCTGCACCAGTCTTGTCCGGTCGAGTGTTACATCTATCCCGCTTCGTGGCGATGAACATATGTGTCCCACTTCTCAGCGATGAGACCTCTTATGGTCGTCAAGAAGAAAAAAAACTCTCGGTCGGTATGTTTGAGGTTTTGTCCGGTTGAGTTATCCCAGCCCTACCTACACGGTCTTGCCCCGTCGAGTGTTACATTTATCCCGCTTCGTAGTGACGAACATATCTATCCTGATTCAATGCGATGAGACCTCTTGGTGGTCGTCAAAAAAAAAAAAAAAAAAAAAAAAGGAAAAAATCTCTTTCCTTTCCGTTTGAGGTTTTGTCCAGTTGAGTTATCCCGACCCTACCCCCACGGTCTTGCCCGGTCGAGTGTTACATCTATCCCGCTTCGCAGCGATGAACATATCTATATCGTTTCTCAGCGATGAGACCTCTTGCTGGCCGTTTTTTTATTTTTAAAAAAAAAAAAAAAAAAAAAAAAAAAAAAAAAAAAAACACTGCCGACTGAATAGAAGCAAGAGATCTCCTGGTTTTTTCGTTCGAGGTTTCGCTCGGTTCAGTTATCCCGGCCCTACCAACACGTTCTTGCTCGGTTGAAGATGTGATTAAGTTCACTTGTTGACAGGGTTGTAAAAATCTCGCCTAGGCACCGAGTAATCGGCGCCTAGGCGCTGGGCACCCATAGGCCGTGGCGATTTCCGCCTTAGGCTCCCGCCTAGCGCCTAACTCGTCCGATTATGCCGAGTTAACTCGTCAATTTCTGTCGAGTTAGTCGAGTTAACCCGACCAACTCGACCTTGCTAATTTTTTCCATTTATATGACAAATACATATAATATGACATATATACACTCGTAGACTAGTTTGATACTTTCAATCTTTGGATGATTGAAGTATTTGAGTATTTCATTTGAGTTTTTATTTTTTTAATATTCTTTTGATGTTATGACTTATGAATTGTCATTATGTCATTTATTTGGATGTGTTATTTGATTGAATGTTGAAAACAGACTCATTAAAATTGTCAAATTGCAAGTCTGCTACTGTTTTTTTCGCGACCGCCTAGATTCCGCCTAGGTGCCGAGTAGGCCGCTTAGGCGCTAGGCGCTGCCCAAGCGCCCGACTAGCGCCAAGCGCCTACTGCAACCATGCTTGTTGATCATCAAAACTATCAGTTGATATTTTATCTGGATGGATTTTTTCAAGCCGGCCGGTATGATTTTGCCCAATCGATCAGTCAGTCATATCCACTTGTCACTCATCTTTAGTGTACAAGTAAAAGCTTTAGCCACTGAGTACTCTATACGGCTTAAGATCAACTATCACACTTAACCACCTGTATTGTATTGATATATTCTATATTTCAACCGTAATTGGTATATGAATAAAAATATGGAAGATTATACGGAGTAATATTTTATATTTCTATTAAAGATTAAAATATTCTATATTTCAACTGTAATTGAAATTGCATGGCATAAATAATTATAATGTTGTTTAATGATTTTTCCTTCGTATGTAAAAACAAATTATAAATAAAAACTAATCATTGTATTTTACTATTTTACGCCATAAATAATATTAATTTTGCCTAATGTCTAATATTCTATATTCCAACGGTCAAATGTAAAAGAAATTATAATATTATTCTATATAGCAAAATTAATTTAAATATTCTATATATACATATACTGCTTAACAAATCTAAAATGCTTAACGATTCTGTAGGTTTGGTATGCATTTTAATATATATTATTAAAATAATAAAGCTTAAGGATTCTGGAATGAAACCATTATTTAGTAAGTATTTTATATAATAATAATAATAATAATAATAATAATAATAATAATAATAATAATAATAATAATAATGAATTTGACTGTTTTCAAATTTCAAAAACAAAATTTTTGTTTAGGATAGACGAGAAAATCGCACTTTTGTGTGTTTGTGTGTGATGAAGAGAGAGATTAATTTATTACTTATTAGGATTTGAATGGAATTTATTGTCCCTCCATGTTAAATATTGATATAGGATATGGTATTCAAAATGCAAGGAACATATTACATGACGAAAAACTAATAAATTTGACAAAATCATACAATTAAAGTAAATTATATGTCAATAACTAAATTTTAAAAAATTATTAAATTTGAGAACTAAACTTGATAATAACCCTTGGGTTAATTATTTGGGAAAACAATGTGTTCGATCACAATCTTGCCAAAATCATAGCCGCGATTATGGGACATCTTGTCATCTTGTGGGTGTTTTCTTGTCTATATTCGAACGTTATCATTACGTTAATTATCAGAAGTAACTGCAGACCGGCCTGCAGTACTAGAACCGGTTATCATTGTGAATTCAATTTGTTATTTTTAATTATCATTGTGGTCCTATTTGTAAGGTTTGTCTTTGGTGTGATTTTTAACCTATTACGTAGAAGTAGAATTTACTCAGTATATGCACATCCTCGATCATATGGTGACTCCACACTTTTCTTGTTATCCAACACGAGTATGTATTTTATTTGTTTACCTTTTTCAAAAAAAAAATTATTACATATATGTGAAAATCATAATAAACGCGAAAATTAAAAGACCCAAACACCATTTGCAAATATTATAATTATAATTATAATTTTAAACAAATGCTAACAACAGAGTTGAGAATTAAACACAAATAGTTTATTATTGCAAAATTTGTGTTTAAGTCTTAATTCTGTTACTAGCATTAATTTAAAATTATAATTATAATATTTGCAAATGTTATATGTTCTTTTTTGTATTTTTTCTTATTCTCACATATAAGTAATAATTTGTTGGAGAAGAAAATTAACTTTTTTTGAATGCTACTGACTCTATTACAATGTAATATCTGTTCATATACTTTCTCAACCTACTGAAACACAAAGAACCAATAACGCCTCCACTGAGGCTCAAACTCACAATCTTCCAAATGAAAATCCAACCCGGGTACCATTAGACCACATAGCTAGTCTTGGTAGAAGAAAATTAACTTGAATTATCCATTTTGTTCTTATTTTTAACAATCCAAAAACCCATTAATAGAGATGAGAAAAATGACCACTTTTAAAATAATTGAGGGAAAAATGTGAATACATGAATAATTCATGGAAAAGAAGTTACATATGCATATAATTCAGGGGAAAATTTTGCAGTTTTCCCTATTTTAAAGAAAATAAATAATGTTTACCACCTCAAGCAACCTGTCAACATATATTAAGTTATAAATAAGTTATAATTTCTATTTGGTAAAACATAAGGAGTTTAAAATAAGCTCCTCACTTTTTTACTTTTCTTCTTCTTCTTCTTCTTTTTTTTTTTTTATTAATTTACAAAAATGGCATCATCTACTCTTCATTAATCAAAATCCTAATATCTCACTTTATTGTTTTATATCTTTTTACACTTATCAACTAATTCAACAATTAATTTTACCAAATACATTAATTTCAATTCATTAACTTATTACTAACTAATTTTTCATCTTTCAACTAATTTTTCAACTAGGCGTACCAAATAAAGCCTAAGAGTTGATAACGTATAACACGTCTACCGTTCAATGTGAAAGCAGCCTAAACATTAAAAAAATTTGCATTATTTGTGCTTACTTTGATGAAATGTTGACTAAGTAACATTTTGATAGGATGATAAGTGTAATCATTGTTGGCATGAAACTAATGAGGAAATTGACGTTCCATGTTTGCCTAAGCATTGTGTACATGTTACCTGTCATCTCAACACACAATTCAATTCTCATCTACAACCACACAAGGTTTTATTAATATAATGTTACCTGTCAGCTCAACACACAATTTGTCATAATTAATTATCTCATCATCAATAACCACACACAAAGCTTAATATTCTCATATAGTGGGAAAAAAATGCCTTAAGATGTTACATACATGAAATAAATATAAGTTTAATTTGTTTTAAATTTGTTCATATATATCATTGTGATGAACTTAATTATTATTAATAGTTAGACTTAAAAAGATTAGAATACCTAATAATTGTCATTTTATTTTTTATCTTAGATAAATGACTTGATCTGAGAGTTACTTACGTGTACTCATTCTTCGCATGATAAGACGGAATTGACAATATTAATTTTAGTAGTGTTACAGTTTTCAAATATATTTGTTGTTATTGAACATGCATGTAAATACAATAGTAACTCTACATAATATCTTGACATGATAGAAAGAGATTGATTGCATCACCCTTTATACCATTACCCCCAAAAAAAAAGTAAAAATAAATAAAATAAACAACTCAAATTTCCATTAGTTTGGCATTAAGCTACACACCTCCTTTGGATCAAATCATATAGGAAATCTAACGAATATTGGTGAACTTGACACGAGTAGAAATGGTATGAAAATAAGGATTCATTGAAGACATGTTTCATTAGCAGTCGGACGGCGAGTCAACACTACAATAAAAGTACTAAATAAATGAGAGAATTTTGGAAGAATAATAATGTGTGTATTGAATTCGAAACTCCTTACAATGTGACTTCAATGTGTATTTATATAAGGAACTTGGGCCAAAAGGCAAGGAAGAAAAAAATAATTAATTTAGACTTAGGGCATCCTCAATAGTCGGGATTTTGGTGTGGGTTTTGAGAAGTTTTTGTATGTGTGAATAATTAGAAAAGAGAAAATGAGATGAAATAAAAAATGGAGGAAAATAAAAAACAAAAGCTGGATTTAAAATAAAATAAAAGAACAAAAACAAAAGTTGGGCCCACCAATGGACAAGATTCCCATTTTAACATAAGCAACTCAGCCATTCTCTCTCTTATTTCTCTTTCATCGATGGTGGCAACTTTTCCTAAAATACAATGAACAATCCCCTAATGTGATGCTCAGGAAAGCTTCCAAAACTACTAGATTTACTTCCTAATAAGGAAAATGAAAATTCCCTCGATAGAATCTTCATTCACCGCCTCCGAAACTGGCACTCGATCAGGACGTACACCCCGACTACCTAGTCTGGTCCCTGGACCAGGCGGACTGGCGGGTTGATCCAGGGGCAGCCAAGGACAAGGGTACTGAGGCTCTCTCCTTCTAATCTTCTTAGTATTTAAGTCGCACCGTCGTTACTGCCTAGGGGCACACCTGACTGGGTACCCTAATGATTTCCGTACCCTACACCCATCTCTTCCCACCCTATAAATTACACATACATTCAGTGAGTCCAGGTGCGCCGCAGTGCTTATTCCATTGACCAAAATTCAAGAAGTAGTTTAAGAGATAGATTATAGAGAAGAAAGATGGGCTCTAGATCTGGCGATTCCTATAACCTCAAAGAGCTTCTGCAAGTCCTATCTTTCCAAGAAACACAAACTAGGTTGTCCCTGCAGCAGCAGCCTAATCAGCACCCTTTGGTGACTGAGATGTTTGGCGAGCTTTACTTCAGAGAGATCATCACTCCAGCTGCCACGTCACCATCGTCTTCAACCTCGCAACACCATCACCCCTTCTTCCCTTCTGTGCTAATCAACACTTACCGACATGTTCATGTCGCCGAAGCATCCCCCATTAACGACAGTATTATTGAAAAAGATTAACCACAAATTTGGTGAATTTCAGGTTGTTGAGATCTGTCTGTTGGATATTATCTTCTCTTTGTACACAGATTGAAGAGATGTATATGTGATGAAAAAGCATGCAAGTTAAAAATATATATTTCTGTTTTTTTTTTTTTTTTGGTATTTTCAAGTGCACCACGAGTTGTTCCGAGTCTTTCTCAATCTGTCTTACGGTCCTGATCCACCCGACTAATCCCCGACATGGAAATTGGTCCAAGGGAACTTGTCATTTGTGGGAATGAAACCAGAGTTATCCCAACTCTCCCTAGATTTGTCCCCACAAAGATGCTCTTTTGCCACTTGAGCTATCCCTTTAGGTTGGTTGAGTTATAACTTAGTATCGCCTTAGTTTATTCAAGTTATACAATAATGTTATTCTGTGTATGTATTTTTCATGTTTTGATTCCAGAAATGTGGTTGAGGTAGTGAAACCTTAAAAGGGTTTTGATTCAAACCTCAAAGATTGTTTGATCTTTGTCTGCAAAAACCTACTTCGATCTGTTCCATGTGTGTTTTTGTGATGCTTTGCAACTCAAAAAGCTAAGGCTATGGGTGTATTCTAGTCCATCTTACTATGATTCATTTAGTTCTTGATGTAGCTATATATTATTATATTACCCCAAGAATGATTCAATTTTGTTGCATCTTCACTAATAGATTAAGACCTTATTTGGTAAAATAGTTAGTCTATTAGTCAATTTTAGCTTATTTGACCACTATTAGTTGTTTGACTCGGTTAAACAATCCATATGAGTGTTTAATTAATTAGTTTTTTTGTAACAACTTATTTTTCCAAACTGCTAAAATTCAAAAAGCGACTCAAAGTAGCTTTTTGATCAGCTTTTTGAGAAAGTTATTTTATAAGTAATAAGATAACAGCTAATTTACCAAACACATTTCTATGTTAATTCTATCAACTAGTCGAAGTCACTAACCCTATAAACTAATACCTATCAAGTATCGGCTAAGAATTTTTGTTGAGATTTGTCATCGGATAAAAGTTAATAATGTCGATGTTACATGGTATTCTCACAAAAGAGAGATTCAATCATCTGATTCTTTCCTCTTTGTGTTTTAAAGAATCATGCTAAGTTTCCTCGATAAATTCCTTTTTAAACTTGTGATAGGGTCAGTTCATCATATAGAGAGTTTTAGACAAAATTTCCTATGAGACACTGGTCGAGTTTTTCTCATAAGTAACACAATTTTTTCACATAAATAACTATTTAATCCTTAATATAATATTACATTTTAAATTAAAAATATTACATTTTGCATCAAAAGTATCACAATTTTTTTTATAAGTAATAACCAATCAACTTATCCATGATTAGTATTACGAATTTACAATTTTTATTATAGGTAAATGTTCAACTCCTAAATATTGCACTTTGATTAAAAGTAGAGGTGTTAGTGAATAGAGCTTTCGGTAAACTAATCGTGTTCGTGTTCGGTAAGCATTCGTTTATTAAGGTAAACGAACATTAACAAACAAAATTTGGAGCTCGGTTTATAAACGAACAGAGTTTGAACAGTTGTAAGCTCGTTTGCTAAAAGATCGTGAACAAGCTCGTTTGTGTTCGTTTAATATTTGCTTGTATTCTCTTTGTAGTTGTGTTACTTGTTTGGTTATTTTTTATGAACATATATTATTTCTTGTTCACGAACGAATTGTGATCATGAACATGTTCATATGTTTGGTTATTAAGTATTCACGAACGTGTTTATGAACGTGAACAAACATGTTCGTGAACGTGTTCGTTAATGTTAACGAACATGTTCATG